TTTGCGGGTTTTCATCTTGGACCTATATTTTTTTCAATTTAAGGCCTCCTTTCGGGTTTTCACCCTAAACGTTTTTTTAACTTGAGGTGCCCTTTCGGGTTTTCACCTTAAACAAAATATTTTTTGACTGCATCCGAATTAATGAGATTTGGTAATTCTGGCCCGTCCATTTCAGCTAGAATCAGTGCTCCTCCAGAGAATGCCTTTTTTATGACATAATGTCCTTCCCAATTTGGCATCCATTTTCCTCTGAAATCTTTTTGGATTGGTCAAATCCTATTTAGTACAAGATCCCCTTCATGAAATACTCTTGGGTGCATCTTTTTATTATGTGTTCGAATCATTCATTTTTTTTTTGTAGAGATGACCCTAGTGAATGGCTTTCAACTTTTTTCCTCTATTAGATTCAACTTATCATATCGAGTTTGGACCCATTCTGTATCATCTAGTTTAACTTCTGATAGGACCTGGAGTGATGAAATCTTTATCTCAATGGGCAGTTCTGCTTCCATCCCATATGCTAATGAGAACGGGGTTGCCCCAGTCGAAGTTCATACTGAGGTTCAATAAGCAAACTAAGCAAAAGGTAATTTCTCATTCTAATCCTTGTATGTCTCAGTTGTTTTCTCCACTATATTCTTGATGTTTTTGTTTGCTGCTTCTACTGCTCCATTCATCTTCGGTCTATAAACAATAGAGTTGTGATGCTTTATGTTAAATTGTTCACAAGTAGCGTCTATCATTTTATTGTTCAGGTTCGTGGCATTATCTGTAATGATTATTTCAGGCAAATCATACCGACATATGATCTCTATTTTCAAGAACTTACAAATAGTAGACGGAGTGACACTGGCATATGATGTAGCCTCTACCCATTTCGTGAAATAGTCGATTGCCACAAGAATGAAACGATAACCATTTAAAGCATCTAGATGAATTTGCTCGATAACATCCATGCCCCACATAGAGAATGGCCATGGTCCGATCATTACATGAAGAGGTTAAGGTGGAACATTGATTTTATCCCCACAGATTTGACATTTGTGACATCTTCTAGCATAATTGATGCAGTCGCTTTCCAATGTGGACCAGAAATATCCGCATCTCATAATTTGCCTCGACATCATATGTTCATTCGTATGCGTTCCGCAAACTCCATTATGTACCTCTTTTAATATCATTTTTGCCTATTCTACATCTATACATCTCAACAAGATCTGCTCATGGCTTTTCTTGTACAAGACCACTCCATCAAGAACATATCTAGCTGCCATCTTTTTAATAGTTCTTTTATCAGTTTCAGTGGCTTCCTCTGGATAACTTCGATTTTTTATGCATTGCAGAATGTCGTGATACCAGGGCTTAATGTTTTTACTTCCTCGATTTGATAACAATGAGTTGGATACTCGTATGACTGCATGTCAATCCGCCATTTGGTTTTCTTCTCTTGGCACATAATGGAATGAGACTTCATCAAATTCTTCGAGAAGATCCAATATTAGCTTTCGGTACTCCACCATCTTTACATCCTTCATTTCCTATTCTCTGCAGAGCTGATAGATCACTAAAGCTGAATCTCCATAGACCCGTAAGGTCTTTATATTTTGTCCAATAGTAGCTCGAATCCTCAAAACACAATCCTCATATTTTGTTGTTGGTGCAATCAAAATTCAGCCTACTAGTGAATGGGTAACGATTTCCTTCAGGGGAGATCAGTATTGCCCTAATGTTATGTCCTAATGCATTTAATGCACCATCAAAATGCATTTTCCAGGAATCGCATGCGGAAGTACTTGCTTCTTCTAAGGAATTGGCCATCAAGTCTTCGTCTGGGAAGTCAAAGCCCAGTGGCTCATAATTTTTAGTAGTTCTGCTTGATAATAAATCCGATATGGCACTTCCCTTTCTAGCTTTTTGGCTCACGTACTCGATGTTGATTTCGGATAACAACATCTGTAATCGGGCTAACCTTTCAAATAGGGCAGGCACACCCATTATATACTTTAGTGGGTCTAACTTGAAAATTAGCCAAGTGGTGTGGTGCAGCATGCATTATCTAAGTCTATATGTAGCCCAGACTAAAGCACAACATACCTTTTTGATGGGAGGATATCTGACTTCGCAATCAGTGAAGTTTTTGCTCAGGTAGTAAATGGCCCTTTTCTTCCTCCCGGATTCATCATGCTCACCCAGAACACACCCTATTGAATTCTAAATATGGATAAATACAAGAATAGAGGTTTACCCTAGATGGGGGACATTACAATAGGAGTGCGAGATAAGTATTCTTATATTTACTCGAATACAAGGTGACAATTCTCATTCCATGTTCCAGAGTTATTTTTTGAAGAAGACGGAAAATTGGGTCACACTTGTCGATCAGTTGGGATATGAACCGCGCTATATAATTTAACCTACCCAAAAAACCTCTAAACTCTTTTTATGTTTATGGGGGAGAAAAATTCTGGATGGCTTTGACTTTATCTGGATCAACTTTAATGCCTCTCTTGCTGATCACGAAGCCTAAAAACTTTCCAGATGTTACCTCGAAGGTACATTTGTTGGCATTCGATTTCAGCTAGAACTTTCTTAATCTTTGAATGAGTTTTCTCATATTTCGACATATTCATTTTCGGTTTGTGCTTTGACAATCATGTCATCGACATAAACCTCAATTTCTTTGTGCATCATGTCATGAAACAAGGTCACCATGTTTCTTTGATATGTTGCCCCAGCATTCTTTAATCATAAGGGCATCACCTTGTAGCATAAAGTTCCCCACATTGTGACGTATATAGTTTTTTCCATGTCCTCATGATGCATCTTAATCTAGTTATATCCTGAGAATCCGTCCATGAATGAGAAGAAAGCGTTCCCGACAGTATTATATACCAAAGTGTCTATATACGATAGAGGAAAGTTATCTTTGGAACTCGTCTTGTTAAGGTCTCGGTAATCAACACATGCGTACTTTTTTATCTTTCTTTGGAACTGACACTATGTTAGCTTCCCATTCTGGATACTTGGACACTTAAATAAAGCCAACATCGAACTATTTATTGACCTCTTCCTTGATCTTAAGGAGCATTTCAGGTCTCATTCTCCATAGCTTTTGTTGCACAAGTTTGCATTCTAGCTTAATAGGAAGTTTGTGGAGTACCATATATGTATCTAGCCTCGGTATGTCTTGATATGACCATGCAAACACATCCTTGTATTATTGAAGTAAGAATATTAAGTTTTTTCTTCCTTTAGTCGAAAGAGTTATGTAAATTTTAACTTCCTTTATTTCTTCTTCTGTACCCAGATTCAGGACTTCAATTTTCTCTTCATGTGGAAATATTTGTTTGTTTTCTCTTTCTATCATCCTTAGCAATTCGGAAGGTAAACTACACTCATCTTTATTTTCACATTCATCAACTTCCCCAAGACAAACGAACTGTTCAAAATCCACTTTCGGGTCATTATCATCAGCGCATGCATTATCATTATCTTGGGACCTAGAGGAGAAATAAAATATACATGTGTGAGAGGAAAATATCCCACACGGAATGGTCAAAAATTAAATTCTAAAGATGATAAAATGAAGTACTGAACGAAAGAAAATTCAATTCAAAATAAAAGTATTGAATAAAAGAAAATTGAGTTCAAAAGAAATAAGAAAAATGTTTGTCGTGAAAGAAACCACATCTTTTATTGAACTTAAAAAAACATTTATTCACCCTTACAAAAGATCACCTATTACCCCGGGTGTAAGAGAATATGGATAGTTTGAGTATTACTCTGAAAGAAATTTGAAAACCACAGGTAATTCTTCAGCCATCCAGTTGCTAAGCACCGATCCAGGTGGCAAAGGGCGGATTCTTGACCCCCTCCATATTTTTGACATTTCCTGTGGTTATAGAGTTAATACTCCAATCTTTCAAAGCAACCTCTAAATCAGGTGAAGTCGTCTCAAACTCATAACCACCAGATTTAAATGTTTCATAAAGAGGTGAAAAAACCATGGGTTCCCATTAAAGATCTTTCCCGTTCAATCTGGCCAACCTTCTGTCTTAGCTTTTCTGTAATTCCTTCATCTTCTGTTGTTCACTAGGCTGAAAACCAAGCCTGAATTGGTCTAGCTTTGTTATAGGAAGGACGGGGTTAATCATTCCTTGCAACAGATTCCTAAATCCTCTTCCTTTCTTGGCACCTCTTCCTAAGGTCTACTTGATCTCTATTTTAGTGCATTCGGAGAGCCGTGGTTTGGAAATTCTTCCTCCTTCAGCCACAAATATGGCATTCACAAATTCTAAAGAGCGGAACGATCATTGTACCACGTTATCATTTACTTCTATGTATCGTCAGTGGTCACACTCGTCACGATATCTTCTTCATCATTAACAATTTTGAGAGCTCCGTCAATGAAACACTTGATTTTCTGGTGCAGCGTAAATGGTACTGCTCTAGCTTGATGGATCCAATGTCTTCCCAAAAGGTAGTTGTAGGAAGGCATAAAGTTCATTACCAAGAATTCAACATTGTAAGTTCATTACCAATGGTTAAAGGCACCTCAATCTTGTCAGTTATCTCCCTCTTGGTCCCGTCAAATGCTCGAACAACGCTCTGACATGTTCTTATGTGAGAAGTATCCATCGGTAGCCTTTTTAACGTAACCAAAGGCATTACATTAAGGGTTGAACCATTTTCAATTAACACACTTGGTAAGGTGTGCCCCTTATAATGAGTGGTGATGTGTAATGCCTTAGCTCGACCTCTTCCTCCGGACAAAATCTCATCATCAGAAAATGAGATGTGATTATCAGCTTGAATGTTATTCACTAGTCTATCCATCTTGTTGACTGGTATGTCTTGTGGTACATATATCTGATTTAAGACTTTCAAGAGTGCCCCCTGTGTGCCTCTAAACTTAGTAGCAGTTCTAACATTGAAATACGTGTCAGTAGGCTATGTAACTGTTCCATGATGTTGTACTTGATGTGCTTTAAAAATTTCAGGAACTCTATTACTTCTTCTTCCTTTATTGGCTCGTTTATTATCAGCACATCTCCTTTGAAGGGTTGGGGGGACTTAGTCTCTTGGAAACAGCAATTCCCTACGGAATGCCCCACTTTGTTGTCATCGTCCTTCAGGTGCTTACTTGGCATTCATATTTCCAAGGAACTTGCTTGTTTTCCTTGTAGGAAAAAGGTCAGGGTGCTGTAATCACCAACTTTTCTTATGTTCTATCTTCTGTCATTTTAGTGGTAATTACCAAAGGATGACCCCTATCATATCCGCTTTCGGATGACTTTTGAGTCTCACAAACATCTTCTTTTGGAGAGTCTTGGATTTCGTAATAGAATTGCAGTTTCTTCCTATCCATCATGAGCTAGATCAAATCTTTAAGCTCCGGGAAATCTTGCACTTCATGCCCTTCTTCATTGTGGAAACAACAGTGGTTACCATCTCCACTCCTTGATGTATCAAAATATGGTGTAAGAAACCCTACTTTCGTCATTTATCTCCATACCCAAGATAAAGGCGACTTTATTTTAGAAACACCATTCTTAACTTTCCTGTCTTTATTTGTAGTAATTGAATTAACCCCAGTCTCTTGATGGTTAGGAAAAGGATTTTGTACAACATTCGGTGCTCCTGAGTCAAAGTGGATCCAATTCTTGTTACGCATTATTTGTATGATCCTTTTGAATGCGAGGCAATTCTCAATAGTATGCCCCAACACACCTCTATGATATTCGCAGTGAGCGTTGTCATCATATCATCTGGGGTATGGGGGCTTCATAGGTTCCACCGGGTATGGTGACACTACATGAGTGTCAAAGAGTTGTTGATACAATTCCTTGTACGTCATGGGAATAAGATTGAAATGCTCCTTTTCTCTTTCTTTCCTAGGTTCCCTCATATTTTGACTAAAAGTACCTGATGGTACAACTGTAGTTATTTTTAAGTTGGAGATCGCAACACCTTTATTGGCATTGTATGTGTTGATGTTATTAATCTCTCCCTCTTTCTTCTTAATAGGAGGTTTCTTTCTTGATTCCCCTCCCTCGATATTGCCTTTTTTTATGGCCATTCAATCATCTCCCCGACTATAACTAAGTCAGAGAAATTTCCTGATGTGATTCCAACCAGGTGCTCGAAGTAAGAAGTTTTCAGGGTTTGCACAAATAGCTTTCTGGTTTCCTTCTCATCCAAGGGTGGATGAACTTGCACAACTAAATCCCTCAATCTCTGTGCATATTATCTGAAACTTTCGTTATACTTATTCTCAATGCTTTGTAGTGTGACTCCATCTGGTCTCATGTCATTTATATACTTGTATTGTTCCAAAAATGTCTTGGCCACATCTTTCTAGGTATTGATATAAGATCGATTCAGCTGATTGTACCATCGGATGGCTGAATCAGACAGACTCTCTTGGAAGCAATGGATTAGGAGCTGATCATTTCCTATATATCCTGTCATCTTTCGACAGAACATGGTAATCTGAGCTGACGAGCAATTGTTCCTATCAAATTTCTCAAACTCGAGGACTTTGAATTTCGGTGGAAGCACCAAATCCGGGACTAAGCTCAGCTCTAGAGCATCGACTCCATAATAATCATGGTCCCCCTTAACCACCTTCATTTGGTCTTCCACCAGTTTTATTTTTTCTTCCATTTTCTTTGTCTTGTCTTCTTCATCAAAATCCGGTATATGGTAATCATCCGAATTATTCTTAGGGTTGGATACAAAAGTCTATATCTTTATAACAGACGAGGCTTTCACTTTTGCAACGGACGAGTCCCCTTGTAGTCCTGGTAAGATTCCAAGTGAGATAACCACCTACGGGGTGGGTTGCATAGCTACCCTTCAGATGACCCCACCCCAGGCGTGCTTGCTTGATCCAAGCCAGATAACTTAGCAACAATTTGTTCAACCAAAGATTCTTGTCTTTTAGTGATCATTTCCAGAGTACTTTGATTATTATAGCTTATCTTTTCTTTTAACTCTCTTTGTAACCTCAACATGTTCTCTTTGAGTTGAGCAATTTTGGCTTCCATTTTTATTTTCTTTGTGCGGGTGTTGTAAGGATGATGTGTGTCCAAGGCTTGTGGAAGTATATCTGGTGTTTGTTCCCTCTTCTGATAAGACATTTTCTATTAGTTAATGTGAATGTAAAAACATGAAAATAAAACAATTGAAATGTAAGGTATGAAAATAATGCATGATGCATGAGAATTAGAGGCATTGATCCAGAAACGTGTATGTTATTATAAATAATCTTTATTGAGACAAAAGTGTTTTATATTTTTTAAGAGATAAAAATATCTTAAAGGTATATTCTGACTAAGTCCTCTAAACCCCAAACAACCTCTAATAGGTTGACAAGTCTTCTTCCTTCATTTGTCACTGGTTGAATACCTTTTCAGACCACTCCGACTTCCATTGCTAAACCGTGCAAGTGACGATATACTTTTTGTACTTGTTCCAGGAAATCTCAGATAATTGCATCTCTAGCTTTCACCCTTTATTGGGACTATTTCCAACGAAAACACCATTGAAATCCCCCATCAAAGGGAACTATCTGAAGCTCATTTGCTTGTTTCTTGAACCCGTCCATAATGTCTTCCAACTCAGCAATGGTTTTGCCATCTCGCTCTTACTGTTTCTAAAGAGATTTCTCTAAATCAATTTCTTGGATCCTCAAACGCTTATTCTGGTGCTAACTGTCTAACAAACGTCTATAAGAAGTATTTAGTTGTTATTTCAAGGTCTCTCTTTCGTCCTGCCTTTCAATCTTCCTTTTTAGAGTGCTAGTTTCACTTTTCCAGTACTAAGAAGACCTTTTCAGATTGGAATTACTCTGGACTTGTTCTTGATATCCTTTTCTCAAATCCTCAAGCTCAAAACAAATTTTCTTTTGTTCTCTCTCTAACTTGTTTTCCCGATCCTTCTGGGTATCAACATCTAACTTTCACTGGAATATTTTAGCCTCGCGTTCCCTTAGACTTTGTTTCATCTCCTGTTTTTCAGCTTCAAATTCTTTCCTTTCTATTTCTAGCTCGAAGGGAACATGCTTAAGATGTTCTTCCATGGTTCGAGTGACTTCATGGTCTGGCACTAGGATGGTGTCATTTTTTCTTAATCTCCTCCATTCTAAATAGTTTGGAGTAAACATGTCCTTAGCGGCCACGACATCCATAGGAAACATTTTCTTCCATGACTCAGCTACTTCTTTGACCTTTTTCTTGTAGTTGTCCCCATGATATGTAAATTCCGATCCAGATATTCCATTTGTTGTTGGGACAAACTAGCGTATCCCATACTATCAAAGTGCCAAAAGTGGAGAGTATCCGACTCCTCCCCATAATCCAAATAATGTCATAGTTTTTGAGTCTACATATCGGAAAGGATGTCACTATAGGTCAACCAGAGGGCTCTCTAGATAATATCCCTATCCTGAAGGTGTGTGAATACCTTAATCCATTTTTCTTTTGGGACAACTTCTTACCATTTCAGGGTGAGGAATTCCCCCAAAGGAGAATAAGTGGTGCTGAATCAGTGGTAATAAATCCCATTAGTTTTCCAAAATTGACTATGGATCCAATCTTGGAGAAGTTATGCATACCTTATAAATCTTCCTTCGTCAGTCTTCCTGCGTCAGTCTTCCTACAATGGTTGAGGGAGTGAAAACTTTCAGCTAAATTTATCGGTGTTGGATTTACTCATTTCAGGAGTTGTTCGAATAGTTCCACAACAGCCGCCTCAATGTATCCCAAAGTCTTTGGGAAGATAACCAAACCATAAATGCCCAGCGCGAAAAGGTCAATTGCTTTCCATTCATCAGGGTGATTCTTCATTAGTTGCTTGATATGAGTCCAAGCAATTTCTTCCTCATTACCTTTATGTTGAATTCGGTCAGTTACCTATTTCTCATCTACCCCCGCCACTTTTTCCAACTCGTTCTTGAAAAGCTGACTCTTGATGTGCTTGATGTAAACCCGATCCATTCTGATTGCATCACAGTGCAACAGAGCAGTATATTCTTCGATTGTGGGTGCCATGTCCTCTTGGTTAAATGTGAAGCAGTTGTACCCCAGATTCCAGAATTATACTAGGGCTCGAATTAGGGGCTCATCTGTCTTGACATAGAGTAGAAGTGTAATATCACCATACCGCTGGCAGAACCTCCTTTTCTGGTCACTTTTCTAGCTCTCCCAAATACTCCATAGTTCTTGAACATTATTTTGCTTTAGACTGATAGAAGCATAGCCAACCAGATCTGACACATAGTTTTCTTGCATTCTGTCTCGCTTTTCTTTCTAAGTCTTTTTGGACCATAGTCGTACCTCGGTGTTTTTCACCTCTTTCATTACAACCCCTTTGTCCATTAATGTGGATTATTTGTATGTGACAAACAATTTTTTTGTGGATCAATTACCTCTTTTTATGATGCAAATGATAAAAAAGCAAGCAAGAAAGAAAAATCAGTTAGTAAGATAGAAATAATAATGATAAAAGTAAAAAATATGATAAAAGTAAAAACATCCTAGGTTTTGAAATGGAGTTTCGGGTGGGCTCTAATTCCTTGTAGTCTCCCGGTTTAGGTTCTAAAGAAAAGGTACCCGAGTTCTCCTTGCTAGTGACCCCTTGGGCTTTCCAGACCCTCAATCTTAAGCCCATTACAAGCCCGTGTGGACCAAGTTAAATTCGAGAGGATACATTCCCTTATGTCTATACGGAGAATAAATTCCCACGAAAACATAAGTTATATGAATTTCGAAGGTTACTTGCTAGGCCTATATGGAGAATAAATTCCCACGAATGAGTCACTTTCACCTCTACTTAAGAAAAGGTATGGAGCTCGGGTATAGAGCTGAGATGGAAATGTAAGTAATAAAGATCGAAAAATTACATTAAAATTTAAACTTACAATTTTCACTTAAGAAGACAACCGGAAATTAGTCTTAGCCTGACTCACTTACCTGTCCCCAACAAAGTCGTCAAGCTATCACAACGATCTTTTGGGTGGACCCAGAATTAGCCTTCGACTTGAATAAATGGGTTAGAGTCGCCACTGATCATTTTAAAAAAATATTTAGTTTGATCGGACATCATCTTACATGGTCTGCATTTTACGAGAAATATGTAGGATTCGAGAGTCAGTTATAGTCAATGAAGGATTAGCACCATTGTATTGTCCTTTCGCTACTAATTTAATTTCCGATTGTCTTAATTAAGAAAATTGTAAGTTAAATTAAAAAGTAAAAAATCAATTCAAATTAATTACCTTTAATTGATTTAAGAGTACCCCTAAAAAGTAAAAAATGTTAAAAATAAGAACTAAATTGATCAGTAGAAAAAGAAAAAAAAAAGTTCAATTATAATTCTTCAGACAAAACAGGAATATATATATATATATATATATACATGCCAAGAAATAAAAAATAACAGAATGAAAAATTGAAATAAATA